ACAATATGTAACAAAAAAGTGATTATTGCAGTATCATCATCATCATTGATGTAATGATTTCATTCATGTTTTATTAAAGGTTTAAAAAAATTGTCCGTACCTTTCTAGGCCAAAAAGCAGCACCGAAATCAGGGAAAACCGTCGCCCCACCAGCCTCAACATCACTCATCTGTAATGAAGAAAGATTCTCAACATCCAACTTTCACCGCAAAGCAGTACAACATGGTATGCCATCAGAGTTTCACATTTTTGTTGTGGAAAAATATTTTTAAAAAGTACTATATAATGCAGAATATGAGTGTGATTCTTTAATGCAAAAGATACAAATTATGTCCAAAATAAAGGCAAGTTAGAAACAAAAGTAATACTAAGAAGCCAATTTTCATCATTGTATTGTATTTTAGTGCATTTCTTTCTTTTTGCATTTGTGTAAATATTGTAAATAGCACTACCCAGAAGTCATGGCATGTTTGGTGCCATTTACATTTATGCTATATAACTATATAAAGAGAGTCTTGCTTTTATTTTTATCATTGTGTTGTCTTTTAATGTGCTATGTAACAGTCTGGATTAAGTGTATCTGCTATTCAAAGATATTATATTGTCACAAAATATGCACGGTGGCCTTAAAAACGCTGTGAAAGTATAGTGCACCGATTCTCAAGCAAGACGCCCATTTTATCCAGAACAACTGTTTGAGTTGTTTATAACTTTTACAATTGATACTGACTTTTCCAGGTCTATAAATCTCACTTTTAAAAACCGGGCCCCTCGTACATCCAGACAGTGTGAATCCTGGTTCTTCAACGCAAACAAACAGTTGTTCAAAGTGTGAATTCAATTTTTTTTTTTAAATCTATATTTAGAGTTGTTTGGCTTCTTTTGATGCGTGTTCTGTCTTGTTGTCCCTGGTTGAGAACCCTGCTGTAGTGTCGTGTTCGTGTGGATTTATATTACAAGACCTGATGCCAAGACGAGAGCAATACAAGGCACCACAAGATACACATACTTACATAATTTAAAAAAGTAGCCACACGATTTCC